CCGATGGCAGGTTTATGATGCAGACATGACTTTTAGCTATTTTCGATAGTAAAAGAAAAATTCGCATTAAGAGGTCTTCCCATGTTGTTTTCCATTCCGTAAAATCAGTCACCGAGCCTCTCAGTAGCAATTGACGTAACATAAATCCTCGCACGCCAGACGAAATTCTCAAGGGTTAGCAGGAATCTGGGAGAAGAAACACCTTACAGGCAAAGCGGAGATAAAGGACGTACATATTTAGCTTGTTCGGTCCCGAGCACCGTGACGCAGGACCGGCAGGACGAGTGCGTAGCCGAGCCGCGTGGCATCGGCGGAACCGTGTTACAATGTCGCAATAAGGCCTTCGACAAAGGGATCCCGCGAGGAACCGAAACGGGACCGCGGTCGCCGAGGCGAGGGGGCTCGAGCGTTTCTTCGCTGAGGGGACTCGCGTTGGGTCCTGTGTCGCATGGGCCGCCAAAAGCGATGATCGCTCGACGTCTTCCGCATCGCGTCGCACTTACCACCACCACGTCGGGTGTGGACGGCTCCGTGCTATAAAGCGCGGAGGTTTTCACCCTCGAAGCGCATTTCTACCGAGAACACGCCTAGACGCGCATTCTGTTGAGAACTAGAAACACATTATATTGAAAACGCGTCTAAGAAACACAATAATTGTTTTAGTTCGAAAACGTGTTGACTTCTTTCCTCTAAATAAGACTCGCCCTGCCGCGAGTCAGCGTTTCCAAGCGTCGAAGAGTTACGGCGTTTTGGGACGCTATATAGCTTATGAGCTGCGTCCGATCATCACTGATAAAAAAAACTTGTTGCGCCCGGTGTTATATGCATAAGCCTTTAAAATATACGTGGGATTCGAGAAGTTTCGACGAGAAGTCGAAACGCGTTCTGCTGCACGTGGAGTCTCGAAGTGCGAATGAGAGAGAGAGAGAGTGAGCGTGTGGAAGCGAGGAAGAATGTATGAACAGAAGAGCGTGGATGCTGAGACAAAGGGCAGGGAACACGAAAATGGGAGTTCGGATCGAGACGTAGAGGCGACAGGGTTGTAGACGTTTAGTGTATTTTCTCTACCAAATATATTTCTTTCTCCTACATATGTACATATTGTATCATTTACTCCGTATCCCGTGATACGCCCATTTATTTGAAAATATATATTCTATTAGTGTTTGTCGAACTAAACGTCAAATTTAATCTTACCTTTTCCATCCTACAGGTTTGATTTTTGAACGTCATTCTTTCTGGTTACTCTTAGTACGATACATTTCTAAATTTCAAAGAGGTATTTTACCCACACCTAAATAATAATGTAGGGATGACCGAGCGTGAGTGCGTTGTTTGTATGAATGCGTTGTCTGTGTGAATGCGTGAGGGTCTATGACCGGAGCGGTAAGGACCGACGTGCCAGGTCGAGTGTTTGGGATAGCGCGAAAGATATTGAACGAATGTTTAGTTTTAATAATCAGGCGAGGAGTGCGTGTGTGTTTTCTTCTAACGAAAAGTGTGCATGTATGCAAGATGACATTAGGGCGAATGCGAGGGAGCGAAAGGCAGTATGAATCCAGCGATTGATTGAGCGACATCCTTAGCGTAGCACGTAGCGATATCTAATATTAATAAATATAGTATAGAACAAAGTCCGTTCGAGTTTACTATCCCTCCACACACAATAACAATGATAAAATGCAGGTAACAGCAATGAAACACGAACCCTGAAATATCTGATAAAAAAGAAACAGTGAATACATCTCAACGATGAATATGGCACGTTCTAAATTACACGAATGCAAAAGCACGAGGAACATACCTCCGCGATAAACCACACACTGGCCAGAAACAAACGAAAGCTATAGAACCGGAAGCACCACTCACCGCAGAGAGAAGAGACGAAGAAGATGAGCAGGATGAGGAGGATGCTGCGAGGAGGAGATAAGTGGTGAGAGAGGGGCAATTGCGAGACGAGGCTGAAGGGTAGAAGAGATTCAGTGGATACAGTGGCCATAATGTATGCAATTGGGCCGAGCGGTGTGTAAGGGTGGTAGCCTGTTGGTCGATTATGCGTGGTGCTGAATGGCGAGGAGTCGAGGATACACACACAGTACCCTGCAATACCCAGCCCGGCTACGTAGGCGCTATGCATGTCAGGTATTATATGGTATTTAGCGTGTATCTCCTGCTGCTCCACGCACGGCGTGCTTCAGCATTCTGTACTCGGAATTACGGGGAAACACGTGTTCCAAGAATATCGTGCGTATGCCCAAACTCCACGACCAATGACTACTCCATCTGTCTACCTGGTGTCGTTAATGACTTCTCCTCGAGAGAGTAACCGAAAGACAATGGTTCTTCTTAAGAAAAATTTTTAGAATTTTCTCTATCTACAGTTACTCCCAAAAATATTCGGACACCGTATAAGCTCACCTTTCTAGTCATGTATTAGGGTTTATGATTTTTCGTTACGAAATGTGTTAAACTACGCATTGTAATACAAATTAATCGATATTTTCCAATTACTATGGTACGCAAATATTCAGACATTAGCAAAAATATTTTAAATATTATGAATATTTTTGCCCGCACCGTGTTTAAAGTTGTTCCGTTAGTATTCAAATATTTTCGGGAGTAAAATATATCTATCTATCTACAGGGTATTTCATTTATAACGAGCATCTAAATTATTCCCACTGATATCGAAAATAAGCAAAAATGACTTAGAGAAGTATATATGGTTCGGGGATGATAAAAAAGATCCTCGAATGAAGATCATTGATCGCTTCTTTTCTAACGTTTAAGGTCATTAAAACACGCAGCTCCAAAAAAGAGATCTAAAAAACTTTCCTCATTCCCTTCGGTGTTTCAGATCGAATTCGAAACATTTAAACCTCATAATTTCCGCCAATCTTTCTGGTTTATTGCTGTCCTGAACTAGGCCACCGTTGCGTTCGATACGCCCTCAAAATCCAAGCCGCGCGGAGCGAAGTGTTTCCCCCTTCTCCCTCCCTCGCTATACGCGCGTCTGTCCATGCTCCTATGCTATACCGTGAATGGCCAACTTTCATCCTCGATATAATTTCGAAATTTGATAAAACCAACGCTGGCAGGAAAACATCGGAAAATTGGTTTACTTTCACAAGGCCGTGTAGAGTAGCGGCGCGGCGGTTCACAGCCTTGCCGGAAGTTACATCGTGCAAATCGGCGAGAGAACTCGCCGGAAATCGACTCTAAAACGGTCGCGATTATCAAGCGTACTTGATCGATCGAACAAAATCCATCGGCGTGTTTTTCTGCTTTCCACGTGAATTGCGACGCGAATCAACGTGCTTCCCCTCACACGCTTTCATATGCCGCGATTATTTCGGAATAACGAGAGGGCGTAATTGAGTTTGCAAAGCAAGCAGACATCGCCGATGGTCGTTGCGTGGGGAAAAAAAGGTGGAATCGAAACCTCGAAACCGGAAATTCGCCACGCGATGTTTGTCTTACGCTGAATTTCGAATGATCCTCCCCTCTCCTCCTTTGCTTCGTTTTGTCGAGAAAAAAAAAAGTAAGGATCTTTCCACTGCACCAATTCGATTCATTTAAATGCAAATGTAAACTTCGAGGATGATAAAACAACCGTAACGTCTAGATTTCTTTTTGGTTTTATTAGAGCTTATCTCAGTTGGCCTGAAGATATTAACGAACAGTTATTTCTTTATCAGGAAATCTTGGAATTTATATTGGGTCTACTAAAGAAGTACTTAATTAGAAATTCTATTATAACTCGTGAAGTGGATTGATATCTGACATCACATATTACATTACGTCTTCAGTACGTAATTAAAAATTAATAAACTCATCAGAAATAATGGAATCCTCTTCGAATGCTTTTCATAAAAACTATTGTAAAATCACACATATTTGAGGTAACGAATTCGAAATTTGGAAATTCATTAACGAACTTATTTTTGGGAGATCCCGGGTTGGTATCCCTAAAATTCAGGGATTTTTATTTTTGGAAAATCCTGGGTTGGCACCCCTGAAATTCGGGGTTTTTATTTTTGGAAAATCCTGAGTTGGTATCCCGTGAAATCTACAGAGTTCATTTTTAGAAAATTCTCGGTTAGTGCCCCTGAAATTTTGGGGCTTTATTTTTGGGATATCCTGAATTGGTACTCCATGAAATCTAGGAACTGTATGTTTGGAAAATCCTTCTTATTTTTGAAAATTTATGGGAGGGTACTCTTGAAATCTAGAAGGTTAATTTTTGGAAAATCCTGAGTTGGTACCCCGTGAAATCTACAGAGTTCATTTTTAGAAAATTCTCGGTTAGTGCCCCTGAAATTTTGGGGCGTTATTTTTGGGATATCCTGAATTGGTACTCCATGAAATCTAGGAACTGTATGTTTGGAAAATCCTGAGTTGGTATCCCTGAAATATAATTCGATCTCGTTGAACGAACAAATTCGTCGTTCATGAAATACACGAAATGAAATTGCCAGGTTTCATAAGCGAAGGGGAAGTTTTGGGCAAACGGGAACGGAGGCCTCGTGAAATTGGATCACGTAGTCTTTGGTTTCCTCCACGATGGGTCCCACAAAACTTTGAAAAACGGAATCCTTAGTTTCATTCGACGAGAAGAGAAAAACTTCGACAAACCTCGAGTTACACTTTTCGGAGTTCACCTTATTACAACAGTTATTTTTCGCATTTATTTCTTTCTCCCGTTTTCCCTTATTTTTCTGTCGATCAAATTTTTCACGATGATTTTTGTATCCGATGATATTTATCCAGCAGACGAGCATGTGTCCGAGCAATTTGCGCGTATCATTTTAGCATACTATTGTGAACCGATGTAAAACGACCAGCAGGTGCGAGAGTATTGATCGAAAGCTATCGAACAAGGTAATTTCGCGGTCAGCCCGGTCGAAATTTATTCGGTGCAACGATCGACAATGTAATAACGCGGCGGAAAGACATAGAAAATTGTCGCGTAGGAAAATGAACCTTTTTATGTCGCTCACCTTCTGGTAATCGATAGCCAATAGCAGATACTTCCGGTCAGCCGAGAGCTGATGATCGAAGCTCGAGATCAGTGCCTGGAAATTAACGATTAACGTCTTTTTATATGAAGAAACGACGAAAAGTAAGAACACGAAATAAAGATATGAAAAGTATTAAAAAATTTATAGTACAATCAGAACAAATTGACAAAGTAGAATCTTTTCAATACTTCAAATATTAACCCTCTATGACGCCGTGTGACTTGAAAATTACCGATTCGCCTCTAGAACTTTGTCCACGCATTCGGACCATGCATATGGAAATTGCGAATAAACACGATTCTTAGAATTTTCAATGAAACAATTATACAAAGGCTTGTGAAGGTTTCGCAGAAGATATTCTCGAGATGCTAAGAAAGAGAGATTGATTCAAAGAAAGTGGGCTGATTATTTCTCAAACGCGTCGAGACCAATTTCTTTTTCAGCCCGGTAACTGGAAGTAAAACACGCTGTACTCACGTTGTTACTCGAGTCGAGGATTTTCCTTGGCTTCCTCGATGTGACATTATAGATCAACAGATTTCCAGTTTCATCGCGATACAGTATCTCGTTTCCTGTAACAGAGAAAGAGAGAGAGATACGTTACGTGTATTTTCTCCACTTGTGATCCAGCATCGGAGTAGAGATACGCGCAGACTTTTGTTGCAGGGGAAAAAATTGCCCCGATAAAGACCGTCCAATAAAATGAAATTACTTTTATATTGCGTCGGATGCTGCCGATAGAATTGTTCCTTTGAAACCGTTGGTTTTAGACAAATCGCGGAAAGATGTCGGTATTTTTCCGTTAATCGAGGCGAAAACTCCTATACCTGGTACAATAACACTGTTGCAGCCGGGAATTCTTTTATTTACCTTTTATTAAGGAGGCACAACACACTAAGACGTCTGAAAATAGGTAAACTTTGAGAATCTTTTATCATAGGTAACTACTGAATAAAAAGTTTCAATTTTTTCAGAGAACATAAATGTAACTCTCAGCTTCTTTCTCCAATTTATAGAAAGTAAAAATTAATTGCGAAACCTCTTCTGCTAGAACATTTGATTGCTGGCCGCCGCTGTCGACAAGCATTGGAACGTCCGAAATAAAAACTTCTTTTTTTACTTATAAATAGTAATCTATTACCTACAACATAGCGCACAATTTCTCCAAAATTGTAACTATTGTAGAAGTGATGGCAGTTTAAAGAAGAAAAACCACCTTTTGTAAAAAAAAAAGCAACTTTAAACGTTTCTAAAATGTAATTAATCAGGATATCGAAAAAATCGCACGTTGCATTGTAGGTAATACATTTCTATTTGTAAATAAAGGAAAGTGTTTTATTTCACACGTTCACAATAGTTGCTTCATTTTGTAATATTTTTACTTTTACAAATTGGAGAAAACCGCTGGAAGTTACATTTATATCCTCTAAAAGGATGGAAGCTTTTCATACAGTAGTTATAGTTGGGGCCACGATATAGCGAGGTCGTAAATTAAACTCTCAAGAATCGGCACCGATTGATGTTGCGGCACTCAAGGCCGTGTGTTGCAGTCTGTTTGAGGGTTCCAACAATAAACGAATGGTAGCATATGATTTGGTACTTCAAGTAGAAAATGGTATTTCATTTACAAATGGAAAATATGTTAATATTAAAGCTACACAATCCTTTTGCATTTTCTATCTGCATCTTGTAACCGTACTTCCAAATGCGGCTTTTCCCAGAAGAAAAAAACCCTAAATTGTCCTAGCTGAACTCAATTTTCAGTAAATATATTAGAATCAGTTTGACTTTCGCTGGATAGAAGAATTCTTTGTACGGTCCTGACCATGGTTTCAAGTACTTATCTGCTCGTATCTCTGTCAATTTTCGGGTCCCGGCAGCTAAAACATGTTTACTGAAAAAAATTCTCAAACCTTTCCTTTCTTTTTAGACGCATCAGGATGGTGTACGCTCTGAAACTGGAAGTGGAATACAATAAACTTAAATCCACAGCTGGTTGTAGCAGAATTTTGTCGCTACAATAATACAAAGGGATAAAATTAGGGTAGAATTAAACGAGAATATTCTTCACGCGAAAATAACTCGAATAAGTAGGATAACTTTACTTTTTTAAAGTGAAACGTCGTTAAAACACTCGAAAAAGTGAAAAACAGTACTACGTTCGGTAAAATCGTTCCACTACAAAAACTTATAATTCCCCGTCACTCTCTGAATAACGCCGTCTTTGCGTGAGCTCGCATCAAACACCATCAACACGCCACACGAATTACCAAATCATTCGAACGTTCGATTTACAAACTTCCTCCCTCGAGAAAAGGAAGAGAGAGAGAGAAAAGAAACTCGTAAGAAATATAACACAAGCGAACGTTGCGCGAAAAGGAGCGTATTATTAATATTGAAATGGAATTGGCGAATTTCAGATCCCCGAGGTTCGCTGAATTACGTGAGAGCGCGGCTGTGAAATAATTTCCTTCGACGGGTGGCTGTAAAAAATGCCCCATTTCCCGGCAAATTCTGCACACACATATTTCCAACATTGCACTTGCTCTTATTAATTAATCTCCAGAAAAAGCAGCACAGTCGATTTGCAAGCTAGAAATTTTCCAGAACGAATGATCGACGCGGAGAGAGACGAGTCGTGGATATTTTACAGCTCAATTTATTTACAGTACAGACTGCCGTGAGAAGAGTGTGAGGTTGGGTGGGGAAGGAGATGTGCGAGGAGAAGGACGGTCGAGTGTAATTATTCGTGGTGCGGCGCTACCGAGCGCCACTTACAAAACACTGCGCGACCGCGTTATTTCCCGTACACGAACGAACTCGATTAATACGCGACGCTGGCAGAACGATATGCACAGAGGGGAGAGAAAAAAAAGAGGGATGGTTGTTGGGTCTGACGAAGAGAAGAGAGTGGCACAGGCCACGGTGATCACGCAAATTAGAAGCTAACACGGCCATTCGGTATGTCAGCGTTTTTTGAACGGCCTACCCTTGCTATTATGCCACGCACGGCTTCGTTAAAATCGAGGCTGGCAATGTGCTGCAACCAGACGATCCTCGAAAAACGTGCCACAAGCATTGGGATGTTCACCTGCGTTTACGTGCGCCTGTGCACCTGTGTATGTGTGTGTGTGAAAATTTAGAGGGTGGGGTTGTTGGCACTATGTAGTTCATTTTATGGTAGGAATCCGTTATCGGTTTACCGATTGTGAAAAGTATAACGCACAGTGCATAGAACAAACGCGAGATTTGGTTGGGAGAGAGAGAGAGTAGAGAAGTGTGGTCTACCTTTCATTTCTCGATGGAAAATTTCGGTGTATTTTAAAGCACGTGTTGATTTTCGGCGCACCGCTGCTTTCCAGATTTACCTTTCTTTTTTGATTTAATATTCGTAGGTGTTGCGACTTGATTAGGACGCAACGAAGTCTCGGTTCGGCGGATTATAGCAATAAACAACTTAGTCACATTTGGCCGGCAGACCGCATATACCCCCCGTGGACGCATAATAGGTCCCAAAACACTCGGGACCATAAAACATTCGTTACCGGTTTACAACAAATTCGGTACCCCAAAAAGTCACAGCTTTCGTCGACCAATAGCAGAACACACCAGGTTTTCCACCTCCATAACACAACCACCAATCAGAACCGACTTAATGTCTATGTTAACGCAGCTTCCCGCGCTTCTTTGTGGTTGGAAGATCGGGTTGGCGTTGGTAATTATTGCACGTGTATGTGCCAACTACTTATTGTCGCAATGGTGATCGCGCTTTATTAGTGATGTCGATCATTGCGGACTGGACCGCACTGGTGTATCAAGATGTCGAGTATTGCGTGTTAGAGCGCTCAAAGTGGTGTCGATTGTTTCTAAGTATATTAGAATCTGCCCGAATGTCGTGAACTAGCTGTATATATCTCTATTCGCCAAAATGAGGAGTTTACCTTGTTGACAAATCATGGGCCTTTCACCTCCTAGAGCCGCTCTCCTAGGCCCTCGTGCACTGCCTCGTGGTCCGCAGAGTAGGGCATTGGCAGAGAGGGAGAGACGGTCCCAAACGGGGGTGTCAGCCCCGCGTGGCGATCTTGCCGAAACGTCCACTTTACGGGTTTATTGCATGTTTACCGTTACTGAGCGCGCAGAGGCAAGTACCGGCTTACCATGTGGCCCGCAGAAGTGGAGAATTTCCGCGGCTATCAGGTAATAAACCGGATTTGCCCTCCTGGCTTGAATATTGTTATCAAAAACTTGTAGAAAAACTTCTCAAAAGTAACGTCGCTTGGAATCCGTGCCATAAACCCCTGTTAGTTAAACAGTCTATATATACACCTACATACCTGAAAACCGGCAACCACTGTAAGACGGGGGCACGAGACACGCAGTCACGAAGCGAACAATCCAAATTCAGCTAAACATCTAAAAAGCATCTAATCAAAACAAGAATTCATCAAAACATCTACAACATCTAATCAAACCAAGAATTCATCAAAACATCTACAACATCTAACAAAAGGACAAACATCTAAGCAAAATAAAAAAACATCTAACCCAACAACAAAGTTTTAATACACCTCGAACCAGCGAGAACAATCATCAACCTGCGCCTGAACTCAAGGTCCACGGCGCAACAGTAGGTGTACATTCGAGAAGAGAGATATTATGAAAAATCTGGGACTAGAAAAAAAAAGTATGGCCCAATTTTTTAACCACTGCGATACCATCAATATTTCACTATTCGCCTTGAAATCTTCTATACATATTTTCAGAATTTTCAGTAAAAATGAATAAAACTGGAATACTCTTAGATATTCCTACCTGTATGTTGGACAACATGACACTAAGTGAAAGAAGAAACGTATAGTATCAGTAAGATGGTGCACCCCCGCATTACACTTCAGCGGTACGAAATTGGTTAAACGAGAATTTCCATAATAAGTGGATTGGACGTGGTGGACCGAGGTCCCCAAGATCACCATATTGTTCACCGTGCGATTTCTTTCTGTGGGGATACATAAAAGAAATTGTTTTTCGTACACCGGTCGAAAATGTTATCGAATTGCGTTCACCGTATAATTACTGCGCGTGCACGAAAAACGTAGAAAAGAAATTCCTAAAAAAGTTACAAAAATAAATTTTTAATAATGGAGGATATGTAGAAGATGAAAGTGAAGAACACACCTACACACGCAAAATCGGCTTTTTTTAGAGCCAATATGATGTACAAAATCCAACCGTGCAACAGCCGCGCAGTGTACATCGGGTAACAATAATGCCTGCGGCACGCCAACTTTGAGGCTTAATAACTCAACAACAGCATATGCAAAATACATGTTCAGGTAGTGTTTTGAAAATGGTTCGGCGTCAGCTACAAGAATATGTAATAAAAAATATAGGGTTCCATTTAAAAATTGAAAAGTGAACTTCACAGTTTCCAAATAGTTTCCATCGTGATACATATGTACACTACCGGCCAAAAGTTTGGAATCACCACCAAATTTTCATCAGTACTGAATCTGCTACTAATTTTTCATAGACCTGATATTGATATTGTTTGCAATTTATCTCATATCGATTG